CCATATTATGTTCAGTCGCTTACGTGTTAATTTTTGGGAGTTGGGTAATCGTATTCGTGTGTGATGATCTCTGTGAAGTGTGTTATTGTTACATAAGAAAGTGCAGAAACAATTAGTCCTAAAATCTTTGATTGAAAACTTGGTAATCTTTTATAATGAAATATTTGGGCAATCCTTAAACTTGGCACTAGTACATCCAGAAAGGTTTCAGTAGGTATTTGTAGGTCGTAGGTTTTGATTATAATCATAGTTTTCATTGTCGACTCAGTAGGTATTAAAACATTTTAAATAGTTTGTTAAGTGTCTGTTTTCTTATAACAGAAGAACTGGTTCCAAGTAAGTCTTCTATTAAATGTAAATTTTAAAGACTTAACGTTATCGGAATGCGGAACTGGTTCATTGTATAAGTACAAGCTAGGACAAGTCTCAGGGTGGAGTGTGAAGGTGATATGCTGTGCCTTTGAGTGGTTAAACTTTATTTTCCAAATATTGCTCCATTTTATTAATGTTGATGTTGAAGAGATGATATTTGGTTTTGTAACAAAATTGAGGATTATGTAGATGAGGGGAGACTTGTTAATATTGCGTATCTAGCGAATCATCTGCGTACGTAGCGGTAACTGCATTCTCATTTGTGGGCACTTCAAAACTAAAAGTTGTGTATAACAGCGGAGCGACCCTTGTATTTTACCTCCGAAAAAATGAACATAAAAATGCGTGTTTTACTGACATTAAGTGTGGTTTTTATAATTCTAAGTTACTATAATAGTTCGTGTAGATCAGCGGAGTTGGTTTAAAGTTTTCAATATTTTTAAAAATTCAAAAATCGGACGCATTTGAAAATCGACAAATTCGTAAGAAAAAATATAAAGAGAGGTTTTTGATAGTGGTACAATAGATATCATCAAAATTTATAGTTTCTTACAAAAATGCTAATATTTAGTGTTTAATATGACCTTGGACGAACTTTTTAATCTAACATTTCAAATCGCAAAACATAAATATTTTGACTGACTTTTCTTCTTTGTTCTTATGAGAGATTTCATTATATATTTATTAATTTATCACAATGGTGTTTTTTTAATTTTTCATCTTCGTGTTGATAATTAACCTATTTAATTATTTTTAATAATTTAGGACTTTAAATATTAGTAGAAAGTTGGACTAAGTGTTTAAAAATTGGATTCCGATATAATTACAGTGCCTCTTAAAACTAATCGTAAAGTTTAATATTAAGTATGTCGGCGAGGACTTGAACTATAATATTTAGTGTCGTCTTTATGTGTTCAGAATTTAAAAGCTGCAAACAACTTTTACAACAATTTTTAAAGTTCATATACTAAGTGTTAAGTTATGTAATTTTTAGAACGATTCAGGAATTTTTTTCCACAAACATAAAACACTATCTGAAAAATATCTGTTTGATGTTTATGTCAATTTTTTTCTACGTGTTACGCTAACCTTGTTTCTTAGACAAGTCAACATAAATGAATTTTTATTGCCAAGGAGGGAAATCTATGTTCCGCTTCAGGCATTAGAGAAATCCTTGGAATAACTCTGGAGAACAAGGTCGGGGGCTCGATGTCCAAAATAATCGAAAAAAATAATGTTCACACGAGGCAGTGGGAACGAGTTTCAAAAATAGGAAGGTAGTTAATGCCAGGTATTGTATGAGAAATACCCTTTACTTTTTTTTTACTTTTTTTATTAATAGGGTTATGTTTCATTATGGTTAGGTTATTTAGCTTTAGAGATAATGACCACCATTATCGAGTTCACATTATAGGGGAGTAGAAGAACATGGATTACGATTATGTTAGATGAGGGTTAGTTTAGATGGGGTAAGGTTTAGGATTAGGGTTGCTATCTATAATTTGGTGTTTTTCTGTTAAGCGAGGAAAAAAAGGTGTGAAGAGCGCGGGTTTGCAATCTATTTTGTAAGTCTTGAATGGCTTTTCTACAAAAACAACAAATAATTTGTTGTAGAGTAATAATTGTTTGCAAACCTCACCATGAAAGTATATCAGTTTTAGGAATAATAAAAAAGAAACATCACTTTATAAAAATATTAATGATGTGTAGTGCGGTGGAAGAGGTAATGATTAAAATATGCCACGGTTATTATGATTAAGAAATTGGTAGAAAGCAGTTCATAAGATCCGTGCTAAAGATTCCTGCGAAAGGCTTGCGCAGATTCAATTTGAGTTCCTTAATTGTTTCGGTAAGCACTGAACTGTATGATTATTTATAAGGATTTGCCAAGGACAGCAACATAAACATTTGAAGGCAGTAATGTTCTTGTCCTGTTATTTATTTATCCCTCGTATTTATAACATCGTGATTGTTTATTTATTCAGTATTTATATCTAAGCGAATGGTTGTTTGCTCCAATTTTATATTTATATATTTATTTATTCATATTTGCACCCAACAAATAACTGCTTGACCTGTTGATAGTGACCATATAAACTGTGAATAATAATAATAATTATTTTTTTATGGTGTTTAGTGACAGATAATTAATGATTATTTGTAGATGGTGCGGTGCGGTCTGGAGTGGCGTTGGTGTACAAAAACATTTTCTTTATCGTGCCAACGTTTCGATCTTTATTGAAGAAGAAATACTTTCATTGAATATAAAACTTTTTTTTTGCATTGTATAAATTCACTTTTTCCCCATCCTACATGTATTTGTTAAATTTAAACAATGTTTGTTATTCCCAGGCCCTGAAGATGATCTCAATAAAGATCGAAACGTTGGCACGATAAAGAAAATGTTTTTCTGAAACCTACATCACACCAGACCGCATGTCACCATCACACCAGACCGCATCTCACGATTTCCGAATAATCATTGATTTTTGTATAAATATTAGGCCAAAAATCAATGATTATTCGGAATCGTGAAATGCGGTCTGGTGTGATGTAGGTTGCAGAAAAACATTTTCTTTATCGTGCCAACGTTTCGATCTTTATTGAGATCATCTTCAGGGCCTGGGAATAACAAACATAACGACCTGGGATTTATAATCATTGTTTAAATTACACATGTAGGTTGTGAAAAAATGAATTTATACAATGGTAGAAATTGTAGACTCAATCAAAGTGGTTTTTTTTCTGTGTAGATGTGTCATTTTTGTGTGTCGTGTTAATTATCCCCGTCTATACAATTTTGAAATCATAATCAGGCCGAGACATTAACCATTTTTTTCCAGTATTGGCTCCTTTCACATCAAAGAAGCCGACTCCCCATTTAAAAATGGATTTCTATCCATACTTCCTTACCCATCCATTCAAAAAATGTCGTGTAATCTATTTGATTCCAGGCAACAATATAATATTTTATCTCAACCAAAGCCTTAATAAATTGAAAATAATTTATTTGGTCAACCGGTCCACGAAACCTAATAAAATGTAGTAAGCAAAATGAAGTATACTTCACCATTTTCATTTTTCGCCGAGAATCAAATAGATTACACGACATTTGAAAAATAGCAAAAAGGACGGAAAATTCAAAAGGTGTGGGTTGAGATGGGAAGTTGGTGTCCGAGTGAATCGAAGTCACGAAGTGGTAGAGCAGTGTGTTCGAACCCTGCTTGTGATACTGACTTTTATATCGCAACCAAAACCTTACTAAATTGAAAAAAACTTATTTGGTCAAGCGAACCAGGAAACCTAATAAAAAAATCGAAACGATGGCACGATAAGGAAAATATTTTTCTAAACCTATAACACACCAGACCGCACCTCACGATCTCCAAATTATAATAATTGTTATTACCTACTATTGTTGAATTTTTAATGATTTATCTCAAAATTAAATTGTTATTTTTCTATAGTCTAATGGTGATAAAAATATACGTATAACAAAAGAAAATAAAGTCAAATAAGACCATAAAAATAGTAGTTATCTATAATCAACCTAATAAGCCATTACAAAAATGCCTAAGTATGCTGATAAAAACTAATTTTAAAAAGATACTTTTAGAAAATTTTAGCAATATGGTCTACCCTCACGGTTATAAAAATCAATTTTTAAATATATATTGTTTATAAATGAGTTTTAAATAAAAATTTTTATTGTTATTGTTAACTTTTACTTATCTAATTTTTGGATGGTAATGGAAAATGTGCTGAAATACAAGGTTTCAATATTTGCAGACGTTCTGTTGTATAATAATTGTATTTTTTTTGGCTTATGATATTACTATTGAAATAATGAAAAATAACAAGTAACTGTTAAATATGAACTTCCACATAAAGAAAATAATCCAATAAAGAATCTGAAAAATTTAAGTTTAAAAAAAAATTTCTGGGGAGTGGTTTTAATTTATAGTTACATTTTCTAAATGATTGGAAAAGGCTGATGAATTAAAAGAGTAGTAGCAAAAAAGTGGTTTAATTCGTATAATTTTCTACCCGTTGTATAATATACTTAAGTTGATAAGAATTTTACAATGAATGTAAGAAATATTTTAAATATTTACAGCGGAGGCTACAAGTTTTATTTTTCAGGCCTGCCATACTTTAGACACGGCCTTGGGCGTAGGGGTTATGCCACGTTTTTAAAAAGCATATGTAATCGCACTTGAAAGATCATGTAATTATGATTAAATTATCGATGAGAACGTGTTGATATTCGTGCAAGGCAATAATAATATTTTCACGGTAATGTAAGGGGGATTTTCGAAGTTTTCACATTTCTTGATGAATTAAGATGTTTTTTTTTTTCACTGTTCATAAAAACTTGCATATTACATAAATTATTGTGGTGTATAGTGATGGTTCAATTAACATCATTTATCAAAAACACATAAAGAGGTTAATAAAGATCACATGTGTTTCAATTTATTACTTCATTGCAATTGAAAGTACAGTTATAATATTGTAGAATATGTACACAGTTTGATTAGGCATTTCAATCAAATATTTACAGCTATGAGTATTTAGTTTTTTAAAAATTATACTTCCTTCGTTGATAATGTAATTCAAATATAAATATGAATACTAACTAATTGGTTATAATTTAAGAATTTTACACGATTAGGATATGTTGATATGGTCTCAGACATGGTAAGTACGGATATAGACAAGGTTAGGGCAGACTTGGAGTCTACCATTTTGAATACCCACAGGTTGGATATTATGGCGGCTTTACAAATCATATCATGCAAATTTCATAAATAAATGTTACTTTTTAAGAAAAATGTCTGTTTTTTAATTCTTATGTCTAGTTACCCTGCTCGATTTTGAGACAATATTTTGAAGACAAGTCAAGAAAATCAATAAAACAAGTTTTAATTAATGGACTAATGATTAACTACATTTAATTATGGATAATGAAATGTTCGTGCTTTTATTGTGATATCGTTGAAAAATATGTACTTTTTTGACTTATTATTAAACTGATGTTCGGAAATGGACTTCCTGACTATATAGATCTCTTTGGTTTAACCGACTTATATTAACTGTTAATAAGTTTTAAAGAACGTATTTAGATAAAGCTTAAAGAAGGCGGTTCTGCAAAATTTCCATGAGAAATGACAGGTATCAGTGCGCTGGAGGAGGCCATTGGCCTATAGCGCTTAGCTAGATCAAAATCCAGTTTATCATCTTCCTCCAACGATGACTCCATTGGGTCTTTGAGTATGTGAACAGCAACAGGCATTTTTATTTTCGCCGGGTCCGTTGGTCCGTGGTGATGGTGGATGTGCACTTCTTTAACGATCGGCGGTAACGGTGGAGGATGAGGAGGCCGGGGCATCGGGATGTGATGCCTGATGACTAAACCCGTCGCTCCGTCGGTCGGATGAATACGTCTGATGATGTATGGCTGGTAACCAACTATCCGTGGTTTGCTTTTGCTCTTATGCCTAAAAATGTAATAAAAATACGGTTAAAGCTCCCTCTTCTCGAAGCATTATAGTATCGATTTTTTCGATCAACGAAGACAGAATATCAGAAGACAGAGTATCAGGCTTGAGGCTTTACCCAGTTACTTAAACCTAAACAAAAAATCAACTATTTATTTAGTTTTTAGTCATAATAGCTGAAAAAGTGGTGCGGACGGCACCCCGCAATCCTCACTTGTAAATAAATGAAAAATACTATTTAAGTACGGTGAGGCCATGGCCCGTGGAGAATTTGGAAAAACGGAACAAAATAAAATTATCAAGGTTGCGAATAGGTCACACCCGTCCCACACACGGTCACCTCTTAGTGGGTAGAAGTCAAAAACGCTGCCCAATTTGTACAAACCTGGTAACGGTGAGACTCCTATTAGCGGAATGTAATAAGTTAAGAGAGTACCGAGAACGGTGTGACCTACCATCTAATCCGGAAATAGTTCTTAAGCATAACAGTGACTTCAAAGATAATCTTATTAGATACATAAAATTGATAAATGCGTATGGATACATATAACCAACCACACGTGGTATACCTCCATGTTGCACCGTGAATGTATTTATTAGCGTGGGTGATGAGGTATGTCTGGGTGTGGCTGTGACTGAATATCGAGTAGCTCACAGGACCGCCAAATTAGTTTAGGTAATTATATATTTGTTGTGTGATGTGAGGGACAGGTCACTGCTATCAAGGTTGCAGTAATACTACCTAGATGCTGCGACCTTCCCAATATGAATGTATTTATTAGCGTGAATGTTTTGTGTAAATGGACGTGGATGTCAAGGAATATCGAGTACTTCACAAGTACGTCAAAAGGAAATTAGTCTAATGGATGAATGTATTTATTAGCACGAATGGAAGGATGTCGGTAGGTTTATGACTATCCTACCGACTTTTTATTTAGTTGTAGGGGCAGGACCTCAGTCGTAGATTAGGTAATCATTTTCTTAGCGTGAGTGGGTATTGTTAGTGAGTCTGTAAATATTGAAGTATTTTTAACAAACCACGTGTGGGATGGTAGGAACGAACAAGACACTCCTCTGTTTATAGAAATGATAAATGATGGAGTGAGTGTGGTGTTCAATACTTTTTAAAAGTTCCTACTCCTTCAACCTGATGATGAGCTAAAAGGCTCGAAATCCGGATCGTTGCAAAACAACTTACTGTGAGTAGGAACTATCCTTTTAAAAAGTACTCCTCTGTTTGGTCGGTAGGAAACAAAATTAAAAGAAGAGATATAGTGAATGAAATAGAGATAAAGTTGAAATGAAACAAAGAAAAATGCGAGAAGCGCCGGCCGGGAAAAGAAAATATTTACGGAAGTGTGTTTTTGATTGTCTCCGTCTGTGGGTTAGATACAAAATAAATTTTAATAACAGCCTATTAAATATAAATAAGAATATAGATATTACCACAAAAGATAATATAGTTTTTTATGAATTGAATGTAGTTTATAAAGGGAGTTGTAGATTCAAATTTCACTAAGGAATCTCGCATAAACTTAAGTCCCTCGCAGGCCTAAGCATTCTTCTGAGCATGATTACAACTTGAATTTTATACTTTATGTGTTTTTCAAAGCATTGGAAACTTCAAAGTTTAACTAGAATGTATATCTGGTGTTTGGTGGGTTTGCCTAGTAGTTTGTATTAAGGGAATTAAATGAAATCTCTAACGAGATATTACTGTTCATGCATATATGTATGATGTTTATTGTCTTACTAAGTTCGTGTCTCATTGTTCTACTGTTATAAATATATTGTTGTTTATTAAGTTTTTCTTTCAAATTTTTGTACGCCCACACACATATGATAGAAATAAGCATATAAACATGCAGACCTATAAACAGACATGTACAAAAGCAAGTCCATTTTTTAGTACATTTTATAATATCACAGGGTATTGTCTGATTTAACAAAATAGCAAATTCAAATCAAAAACAAAGAGATGCTACAAACTTGGAATCAAAGACGAAAAATATTAGAGACGTGTACGAATATTCTTCCTTTTCTTAGGAGTCGGTAAACAATTTAATTAAATCCTAAATTAATTTTAAAAAATTTACGAAGAAACAAAATTGATATCATATTTTGCTATCCCAAAGAATATAAATCCTAAATCACATACACTAGGGATATCTTTGAAACAACCCTATCAATCAAAAAGAAGCTTGCTGAAGTTTATAATCTTACAAACTAAAATTAGAGGTGAAAACTTGGCCTCCGTATGACATACAAAATGAAATTTGTGAAGGGTTTTATTTAATTTTATCCTTATTTTTCGGCGGTTGTAATACCGTGGGGTGTTGGACAAATATGGAGATTTTAGGAACTTTTAAGTGGAACATCCGATATCATACCAAACAATTCTCGTGAAAATGCCCATTTTTGTTTGATATAAACAAATTTGTATATAAGAGCTTTATAGGGAATTGAAACCAAATCCGATTTTTTTTCGAAATGGAATTTTTTGCCTACTTTTCAGTTAGCTGTTTTTTTCCCTAAAATGTTGCGTATACCTAATTTCATTCAATCGTACAAAACATTTTCTGTTGTTATATAAAATAACGAATTGACTGAAATATAATAAACATAAATAAATTCAAAATCACATTTAAAAAAATATATATTTAATTAATTAAAATTCTTTTTTGGCTCCGAAGGCGGGTAAGAACGCTCATGTTTAATAATTTTCGATTACCAAAAATATTTTATTAAAACCATTGATCCCAGGGCCGTAGACTCCTTTTTTAATTAAAAACATCTGCGATACAAAGATGATATCAGGTATTGAAAGAGGGAAATAATTATTGTTATTGTTTGCTCATTGAATAGAAAATTGAAATTATTTTGCCTTAAATGATTATTCAAGTTCAACTTTTCTGGTTGTTCCGTATTTAAAAACCACCAGCTAATGGTCTATGTAATTTGAGGTGGCCAGAGAAAAGGAACAAAAAAAATAGTTATGAAGTCAATGTTGTAAAAACAATTGTTATAAAAGCAGCGGTTTTTAGACTTTTATTTTAATAATGGTACAAACGTGTAATCCTAAAAAGTGATTAGGTAAACAGTCTAATTTATGGAATAAATTGGCTATTACGAATGGCTATTGTATAATGTTCAGTGAAAGCAGCGGGTGTAATGGAAATAAAATCAGAACTAAGATTAGGTATTTGACAGTATTGTAAACTTGAGTTCATAATTCTCAATTTAACAATTCGTTTACCAAAAGTGTATTTATTTAACTACCCATGAAAAATTCAATAAAGAAGGTTGTTTAAATGCGGCATATAATTAATTATATGATGCACTCTAATAATAATTATAATGTGGGACGTATAGTGGCTGACAAATAGTTGAGGTCATCTCCGGCTTTCTGTCTGTTTTTACTTTTTTCTGATATTTAAAGCATATTTTTCAACTTGCAACCAATTGAGCGTTTGATATGTTATAGACTCACTGCTTTTATTCGTATAAACCATACCATACTATAGTGATATTTTAAAATGCAAACATCTCATTTGTACCTCTGGTTGTCAACTACAGAATAAGACATACAATACATAGACATACATAACAAATATAGAAATCGGGTCACATTCACACCCCACAGTACTCGATATTCTTGCTAATAACTTACTTTTACTTTTCAGACGCCACAGACACACACACACACACACATACACACACACACACACACACACACACACACACACACACACACACACACCAGAGTACTCGATATTCCTAACCCTTTCTTGCTCATAAATTAAATCTATTCCTATAAATTAGCATGAACACAACACAGTCACATAACACAACGCTATACAGAATGACCTTTTTAGGTGGTCTGTCTGAATTTTTCTTCAACCAATAACGCTATAAAAAATACGTGTTTAATAATTTCCAGTCATTTTCAAATGTTTACTTTTTCTTGGAGGGAAATTATACGGGGTACCTCAGGGCCAGTTCAACTTCAAAATTTCAAATACAACCTTATAAATCCGGAGATATCATATTAAAGGATTGTTTTACTCTGAAAATAATGGTACAATCTTATAAATTTATCGAAAAATTAAAAAGTTATGTCAAAACGTTTGCAAAAAGGGATTTTGTTTGTTTCGTTGTTAATTCCAATAATTTGCTTCTTCATTAAAGTAAACATTAATTGCCTTTACGGTTTACATTGTGTCATTGTTTGCCAAACTCGCATTATGAGAGCAAATCTCAATTCCTGGAAGTAAATAAATTATACGATAATACCTATTCGTTACATTCAGTATTCTATTCAAAATGAACCGAAGAGCACATTTCTCCGATCAAAAGCGAGTTGATATGTACGACTGCTTTATTGATAGTGATGGCATTGCTCGTCGTGCTGTCGAGTTGTACTCCCAGAAATTTCCTGTTCGCCCCAGAGTAAACCACGAAACGTTTATTCTTGTTGCTAGGAATATGATGGGAAACGGATTGCTTTACCATCACGAAGAAACCGGCTGCGTAATTTTGATGAAAAGGTGAATATTTTACTTTATATTCACTAATTTCGTGGTCCGCTTGACCAATTAATATATTACAATTAATTAAGGTTTTTAGTTGAGATAAAAAAGTCAGTGGTACGAGCGGGATTCGAATTTTTAAAAATGGCAAAAAAGGAGGGAAAATTCAAAAGTTGGGGTTGAGATGGGAAGTTAGTGTCCGAGTGGATCGAGGTCACGATAGCTCAAGTGGTAGAGCAGCGGCGTATCTAGCCGAAGATCGTGGGTTCGAATTTAACGTTTCTTGCATCAATGTCAATTTGGGAGGCTGAAGAAAACGTTTTTCCATACATCCTTTGGACTGATGAATCCAAGTTCACCTCTAACGGCATACTAAATCGTTGAAAGTTTTGAAAGTGGGCATAGGAAATCCGATAATTTAGTACTATTATCAATATCAGGTGTCACATCAACGTTTGGCGTCGACTTCTCAGAAATAAATTAATGTGCCCTCATTTGGACGAAAATGATTTAAATGGTGCTCAGTTCCTAATTTTTTTGAGGGGGGTTTTACTAACATTATTACATGATGTTCCTCTGCAACAACGACAAAGAATGATTCTCCAGCTTGATGGATACCCCGCACACAACTCTTGGCAGGTGAGACGTTATTTGAATCTCAACTCTGGGATAGGAGAATAGGACCACATTTCCTGATCTGTTGGCCTCCTCGGTCACCCGATTTAACTTCTCTTGAATATACCATGTACCATTTAAAAAAACAGCTAATTACAACCCAGCAACCACAGTTGACGAATTGCGGAAATGTATAGAAAATGCTTATTAGTACCTACTTGACTCTATCGCTCTGAGCATCGGTGAAGAGAGGTTAAAAACGTTTGCATCTTTACGGAAGCGGGTAGTTCGAATGAAATGTGATTAAGAAATAATAGCAAAATAAATGACTGTTTTTTAAACTTTTTGACATAGCTTTGCCATTTTGTGACCAATTTAAAATCCAATCGCACCATTGTTTCCTGCGTAAAAAAATCCTTTAAAATGATGTGTCAGTATGCATAGGATCATATTTGAAATTTTAACATTGAACTGGGCCTGATGTACCCTCTATAATTAGTACTTACTTACTTACTTAAAGTTAAAGTTTTTTTAACCCCGCCCCGAGGAATATAGAGTTGGTGTTAATTTGTTGGAATGAGTGTAATTTATTAGCGTGAAAGGAAGGTGTTACTTATAACTCCGCCCTGAGCCCAGTGAAAAATCGAGTACTCAGGGGGAGTGAATGTGACCGATTTATGTGTTTCTACCGCGTGTCGTGTTTGTGTTAACTTATTGGATTGAGACTAATTTATTAGCGTGAAAGGAAGGGGTTACTTACAACCCCGCTTCGAGGAATATCGAGTACTCTGCGGTGAGTGTGTGACGTCTGGAGAAAGTAAGTTATTAGAGTGAATGAAGTGGGGTCGACCCCGCCCAGAGAAAAATCTGGTACTCTGGGGGAATGAATGTGACCGGACTTCTGCGTTTGCATCAGGTATGGTGTTTATGCTAATTTAGCGGAATGAATGTGATTTATTAGCGTGAATGGATGGGGTTGTTTAACCCCGACCCGAGGAATATGGAGAATTCTTGGTTGAGTATGACGTCTGGAGAGTAAAAGTAAGTTATTAGTGAGAATGGAGTCGGTTGAACCCCGCCACAAGGAATACTGAGTACTTTGGGGGAGTGAATGGTATTGTATGGTTTATATATATTCCGTAGTTGACAACCTGAAGTAAACGAGAAGCTAGCATTTTAGGATATCGAGTTAGCTTTCATAAAAACACAAATGCTCAGTAACAGATCGAGATGCTCAAAAGGCTGCAGGTTGGAAAAACACGCGTGAAAGACGAGGAAAGAAGTACAAATACGCAGAAGGCCGGCGATGACCTTAATCTTTGTCGACCCCTAAACGTAAAGTAAGTAAAGTAAACATTTGATACAAGACTAAAAATTAAAGATGTGATGATGTTTCGCTCTTCTATGAACTGGAAAAAGAACAACTTGGAAAAAAAGATCTTCGGCGAGGTTACAAGAGTAGGACAATTCTTTAAGTTTTTGGCGAGATTTCGACGATTATATCTTCATCATCAGGGATTTAATTCGATGAGTGTTGAAATATATCTTCAGAACAAGAAACTGTATTTATAATACGATTTTGTAAAATTAGATGAAGCTCAGTATCTTCGTTAAAATATACATATAAATATATGCCTCTTTTTTTAATAAAATTACTTTTTTTCTCACACTTAAGATTAATTAAGTTTTTTTTTTTAAATTGTACTATATATAAATACCTTAAATTAAAGTGCTAACCTCTACCACAAGGGAGAGACATGAGGCTTAGGGGCCTTTTCCGTTACTAGATTTTTACCTGTACTAATTGTGTTATATGGACAATTCACATGATTGGCTATAAATTTCGGATAAATCTTATTTGTTCTACATTTTAACAAATTGTATCCGAAAAGCCACCTGAGCCTAATGTATGTTCCTTGTGGTAGAAATTAGCACTTTAATTTAAGTTATCTATGCATAGGACAATTAAAAAAAAGCTTATTTAATCTAAACTGTGATATTCAAATGTACCTGAGAAAAAATATAATTTTATTAAAAAAAAGAGGCATATATTCACAGAGATACTGAGCTTCACCTAATTTTAAATAATCTTATTATAAATGAAGTTTCTTGTTCTCAAGGTATATTTCAACACACATCGATTTAAAGCCCTGATGAGGACGATATAATCGTCAAAAGCTCGGCAAAAACTTAAAGAATTGTCGTTGTGTTGTGACCTCAACGAAGACCCTTTTTTCCAGGACTAAAAAATATTAAAAATCTTTTTTTTTTATATCGTCATTGATACGAGAAAAATTCAGCCGGCCATCTACAAAGGACTACCTGTATAAACTTCAGCGATCTATCCCGCCGCCGTGCCATTGGTCAGACAATATATGAAAATATTGCCTTAAACGCCAATCCTTATACACTTGCAAATAAACTCGATTGTTATTTTATTCTCGTACATCGCGCACTAACGAGGTGGCTTTCGGTTAGACGATGCCAGTGAGTTATTCTTGCATGACCTATGTGTAGTCCTGTGTAGTCCTGTAGTAGCCTTTTTCTTTATCGACCCGTCCTCCGTAGTCCAGGCCCGACGTCTTTCTTAATCTCCCACAATTTGGCTTTCTAATACGTAAATTTAATAATAATTAATTATATTATGTCGTTTTAAAAATACTGTTAAACGTGTGTTATTTTAATTTAGCATTTGAAACAAACTGATAATTTCTTAATAATAATTTTAAAATAGAAAAAAAGACTAGCAAACAATGTGAGAGCTTTTAATTATTTTAATATGAAAATGTTTGACTCGTATCTAAACTCTTTGTGATAATTCATATAAAACTAAGTTTGATATTATGTTGAGTTTTTCTCTGAACGAAGCACTGTCCGTAAAATCACTCGTCCAAGAAGATTGAAAGGTTATAATTTCGGATAATTACATAAATTGTGAAATTTCCGCGTGAGGTCTACAAGGTGATATAGGAGTCATTTTGTCGTTACCGATCATTTTGGTCTGCCTATCCTCATTGACTTAGTCTGTCAAACGCGTTTTGGCATTTTGCTGTTTTCATGTTGGTCTGAGTGATGTAAAGTGAGTCTGCTTAAAACGCATAGATAAATCTCATAAGTTTAATACAAGTTACGGTTGTAAACATATATTTTTTTAATAAACGATTTTCCTTACCGACTTGAATATGATCCTTGAAGGTTGAAGGGCCGTAAACTATTGTCAGACCATAATTCTGACGTAGGTTTAGGTTTTGGTGGTTGTGGTGTAGGTGGAGGAGGACGATTACACGGAGGTGGCACAGGGACGACTTTCACCCTCGGTGGTTTGTATTTATTGTCATCTGGTATTTTCTCCGTAACTTTGTACTTGCCCATAATTTCCCTGTAGCCGGAAGAATCGTTTTCCACTTCGTCTCGAAATACGGGAAATCCCTAAAAATACAAGATGTAAACGATTCGTAACCAGCGGATTTGATTTGACGTACCTCGTTGGCCGATTCGCTGTTCTCGCTCGAATCCATGCCGAAATCCGGTGGAGCCCTTTCAAAATCCTCTTCTTCCTCTTCGCTCCTTTCATAGTTGGGAAGCTGCGCTGGAAGATCTCTCTGTGGTATTCTAATTTCCGAAATTTCCCTTATGATCTCGGAAGTCAGGTCTTGAGCCTGGTGGTCATAATCCGCGTTGATGGGACGTCGTACAACAGGGGTTTGATGATGAGAGATGTAAATTGGTTTCTTGTAGTTTTCAGTATCATCCAAATCTTATTTGAAAAAGCAAAAATCAAATTACCATGCAATAAAAAATTTAATTTAACTTTTTTAGTATTTACGTCTGACAAGGTAAGTCGCTGGAGCCATAACCCCATGTACTAACGCCAAACATGTCAGGAAAGTGTTTGTCCATCCTTCACTCTGGAAAAAGCGTCTTTGTCATTTTCATTAATTCATAAATGCCAAAAATCGACTTTCTTTCATTTTAAACCATGAACTCTACATCAAATTGACTATTGATCTTCGAATTAATTATGCTTGATTTCCCTACTATGTTCGTCAATATACAAGAGAAAATTTGTGTAATACTGATTTGATATAATCTAAACATTGATCATAAACACATAAGATTATTGGTGAAAAGCTAGGTTTGTTGGACAATATACACAAAATAATACAATTTTCAGATATTTATAGCAATTCTAGTTAGGGTGACTCATTGCCCCCTGTTTAATTTTTTTAAATTCTTTATTCACTCATAGACAAAAAACGGACACTCGTATGTTGTTGTTTATTTCAAACTACAATAAATGAATATATTTTATTCTTATTTTACGTACAAAATACTTATTTTAATGCAAACAAAATTAAATGAGTTCAGAAATCCATCAGCTTTCATAAAAAATATTTAATTATTATGGTTTGAAAGAAAATTCTACTACACACCTACAAATTCTCACGACTGCTCGACAAACGATTCAACTTTTAACTACCAAAAATATACTACCTTACAACTCCAAACTTAAAACAAATACGGGCATAAGAATAAAAAGGAAGGGTACAGCCAAACGCTCGACATCCTGCTTGTTCAAACTGCCCGATCAATAATTCTTGGAAGAATTTTGGTCTCTTAATTTATGTAAGAAATGAAAGTTATACACATAGATTGAAATTTTAAAGATAATAAAAATCTTCCTATCACTACAAACACATTACATGAAAAACGTTCATCCAGGCAGATTTCCTGCAACCCTGCAAGCAGACTAAAAAAACTGCAGATAAAAACTATTAGCATCTGTTTACTTACTTCGGTAGCAGTGGGTAGTTTCTTTACACAAAGATACTTTTGCGTTTTGTTTTGTTGACTTGCATTAACATTGTTAATTGTTAATTCATAAAAAATAGTTTTATTATGCATCCAAAATATGTACACTTATACTATCTTCTACAGTTTGTTCGTGGTTTCAGAACAATTTCTTTACAAAACATATGTGTCTAGTATTTTAGTCAAAATTTATATGGATTGCGACGTCCACTTTTATACAAACAGTTCAATAAAGTTGTAATTCTCCTCATATTCATCCTAGAGGCTCCGGGTTTTAAATGAAGTGTGTATAAAAATTACTTGAACAAATTTTAAAGTATTCCACCAGACCACTCGCCAACTAAATCGCAAAATTATTAATGACTTTGAAACGATCTACAGAAAACTATAAAGGTTTTTAGAACCTTAAAATTACATGTAATGGCATAAATGTGGAATTCGTGAAATAATAAGATTTGGAGATATATAATAAAATTTTCGGGCTTTTTCCTTCATTTAAACCCGATTTATCCCACTGGTATTGACATACTAGTTAAATCTTATGGACAAAGGGTGAAAAAAGAAATGTTCTACTTAGGAACAGTTGTACTGTTTCAATAAAATGCAAAAGAATTAGGAGTTTTTAGGTAAAACTGCAGATATCGGAGAAAATAGCTCATTGGGCTTTAGAAGGTAATATATTTAAAACGAATCCGAAATCGTCCTTTTGAAAAACATATTCTTTTATTTATCTAATCTCATTTATTACAATACCTCCATATTATTCTCTTATCCTAAGTAAAAAAATGTTGACTGATATATAATAACTGTGAAATACATCCACAACAATGACAAAAAAATCACATTTAAAAAAATATTTAAAAGCTAATACCCAAATTTTTGGTCTCTGCGGTGCTTTGTTGAAAGCACTGGGACATGCGTTTAATATTTTTTTACGTAATTTCCCAAAAACGTTTTGTTCAATAGGCATTCTCATGTCCACAGCTTCTCCTTCGACATTTTTCGCTTTTAAAGAAAATTTGCTATTCCTCAATTTCAAAACTTAACTCTGAGTTTTTACCAGGGGTCCTTATTTTATGAATGAATGAATGAATAAACATTTATTATAAAATACTTGTGCGTAGGTTACATAACGTTTCATTAAGCAGGGAAAGTGGCGGGCCATATTTACGTCCTAATTTAAAACTTTTTCCTATAAACGCACCTAGTTCTAGTTTGTTATTATTTTTAATTAATTAAACAAGTAAATAGTGAGAAAAAATTTCTTATAAAACCCACTAGGTATCAAATAGGATAAGGAATTAACAAATGAATTAACAAAAATGTGTTAACAAAATATAAACAAATAAATGAGATTAACAAAAACAATGCACCACTAATCGTATTAAACAAATTGTCTTTTAGTATCACAGGTCTGGTAGAGGAAACAATAAATATATCACAGATCCTAGATTTATGTATTGTGCCTAATCCTTCTATGTTTCCATGGAAACACATCATACCCTGCTACCTCCCTACAAGTAGTGTTCTTGCTGGTATAGAGTCACATAAAAAATTTCCTAGGCAGACGCTTTAATTCAGACTTAATATACTCCACTCCCGTTCTCTCATGGAGAAGGCTGGTAGTGAGGTTGTAAATCTTAGAAATTTATTTTGGACTACTTGCAGTTTTTGGATGTTCGATTCCGACATGTAATTCCATGCTGGGCAAGCGGGATAAGTTTAATAGCTACTTATAGTTACTTAAGTTTAATAGCTACTTTATAAATAATTAGTTTATTTTCAAAGCTCATTACATTCTCACGGGCCATCAGCGGAAATAAGGCTTTTAAGGCTATATTTTACCTTTCGTAACTATAATATTTATATGCTTAGAGAAGTTAAGTTTTCGGTCTAGAGGTAAACCCAAGTATTTTATCCCCTCACACCACACGACTTTGTGTCCGTGAATAGAAATTGTTTCCCTGAATATTGGCTATCGTTTTGTGAAAAATGCGGCCTCAGTTTTGGGGACGTTAATCCTGCGTTCCTGCGGTGACAAAACCTGCAAATCTTGGTGATGCTGTCTTTAATCTTTTCACAATTTCTTAGGACTCCAGGATGAACAATAGACAGCTATGTTATCCGCATAAGGTCCTTAACTTACGAGATAATTGTTTTTAAAGCCTTAATGAAACACTTTGATTGAATATAAAAAATATTGTTTTGCATTGTGTAAATTCACTTTTTTCCACATCCTACATGTTTTTGTTAAATTTAAACAATGTTTATAAATCTTAAGCCCTGAAGATGATCTGAATAAAGATCGAAACTTTGGCACGATAAAGAAAATGTTTTTCTGAAACCAACATCACACCAGACCGCATCTCACGAATTCCGAATAATCATCGACTAACGGTCACTAATCATCACACATTTCGAAATGAAACAATTGATCGTCAATTTTTATATCTTGAAAATGAAATTTGTAAATCTAGATTTTATAAACTAAAAACATGGCACTAAGTTCAATTATCTCGGGAGATATATTCATTACCTTCTTCAAAGAATTTGGCATATTTCCTATTTGTAATGTTTTTCAAGGTGTTTAAGTTAATTTCATATGTCAACTGCTCATCATCAGATTAATGTACTTTGAAATGGTTACAATTCAATAAAACTATTTATAACATTATTTTTTAATATGGATTATTCTAGCTGGGTTAGGTTAAGCTAATCACCCAACCGAAGACTTCGGGTAGAGCTGGTGAAGACACGAAAGGCGGTGGAAGGAATTTTGCTCAACTCCGTTTTTTTTTTTTTTTTTTACGAAATTGTAAAAGATAACGTAGTCACAGTGTTCATTTTTATGCTATTTTTAACAAACTATTTTAAAAAGTTATTGTTTTAGTTTATCATTAAAAGTTTGCCATTTATGGGTCAAGTCCAGATTTATCTTATTTTTAATTTGAATTATTTGAGTTTGTGGCACTGTTTTTTCTTATATACTCCTATTTGCTCAGTGTGAATGAGATCCACTCAAAACATCAAAATAAGCGGAAAGATTGTTTGGAAATGTTTTACTTACGAACGTTACTTAAATTTAAACACAAATTATATATTTTATTATTTTGTACTGTCCTTTTATGAACATTGTACGTTCTGTGGGAAAAAGTAGTAGCATTTCATTGAATAATAAATGAATTTGATAATGGGTTACACTATTTATGCACATTGTCCATGTTTCGATAAATAGCAAGCGAAATAACAGTTTTACTTGAATGTTTTGATTTTTGCGCTAACTTGATTTGTTGTTATAGTAAAACAGTATAAAAGTTATATTTGCTCTTTTGATTTTACGTGCTTTAAAATTAATATTTTTGCGAAAAGACGGTTCATTTTTCTCGATAAACGATAGTTTCACTTCATGCAGTTCAGTCACGGTTTGCTGTCAGTTAATGTCACGAATTGGTACACCTGGCTCTAGGAAGTTCCTTGCGGTCTGGAAAGAAGTGGAGCAAGCAATTGGATTTAGTTCTGCTTTTCCATAAACACCGGCATTCAACACGATACCCGCACGTACTTTAAAAATCAATAAGGTGAAAGCTTGTGAAATATGATTTTCCAACCGACCAATTGAAGTAGTCTCTTTTGAAAATTCATCGTCAAACTTTCACTGATTGTCTTGCTTTACATTTCTTACTGTTTTTCTTTTAGTTTTACAATAGAAAATACACTGAATTTCACTACCACAGTGGATCTACTACAAATTTACAACTACCTACAGACGAAACAACGAGGCTTTTGTTCCCCGAATGAATAGGAGTTTCATTTTATGACTGCGCCGTTGCAAACAAACAATGAGAAATTTCTTCAGTGATCCGTCGCGATAATAAATTCGGAGCAATTTCTTCTAACATGGCACACTTATATTTGGGAGGGCAACCGCAATCTCTCAGCCTTGCTCTCTGATATTTCACTCTAAAAGTTACTTATTTTACGCAGGTCAATAAACTAAATTATAAACCGTTTGTTGCCTTGACTAATGCAATCTCTTTTTTTCTATTAATAATATCACGTTGCTATAAACTTAAATTCTTATTTTCGTTACGAAAAAAAATACAGTTTTCTGTCACATTTTCTATGAAATATACTAAAGTTGACAAATCTACATGCAGATATTTCTAATATTATGGAAGTCACAAGATCCTATATTGCTGAAACGTGAAATTGATGTACGTCTTCATATTCGGGATTTATTTCCCTTAAATAAAATTTTTTGAATTTAAAAAACGCTGTTAAGTAAATTTTGTGTATATGTACGTAAATTTGGCCTAATATTTATATAAAAATCAATGATTATTCGGAAATCGTGAGATGCGGTCTGGTGTGATGTAGGTTTCAGAAAAACTTTTTTTTATCGTGCCAACGTTTAGATCTTTATTGAGATCATCTTCAGGGCCTGGGATTTACAAACATTGTTTAAATTTAACAAATGCAAGTGGGATGTGGAAAAAATGAATTTATACAATGCAAAAAAATATATTTTTTATATTCAATCAAAATATTTCTTCTTCAATAAAGATCGAAACGTTGGCACGAGAAAGAAAAGTTTTTCGGAAACCTACATCACACCAGTCCGCATCTCACGATTTCCGAATAATCAACGACTAACGTTCAGTAATCACCACACATAAAAATCAATCTGAATTTTTTTTGTCCTTTTTAATATTTAATGCACAATATCATCAACGTAATTACCTAAAAGACAAAAATTGACAACTGCCTTCTATATGATATAGAAGATATAGATATGTTAAATTAATTTTAAGAAAATCGAATTTTTTGATCTTAAAAACATTGCTAGAGAACGATTCTGTATAATATAAAAAACAAATGCCATACAGTTTTTTATTATATATAACTAATAGGTTTTTTATTTTTGGCCTTGAACTATAAGTAATAGTTTGTCAGACGGCTTTACTGGTTTCGCGAACTAGAGATACCTATTTTTTTTCAATTCTTTTTCGAATTATCAAAGAAATTTCCAAGCGAGAAAACCGGGACAATCAACACAAAATATCTAAAGAAAAGTGGAATCCTAAAATATGATGTAATACTATTACAATTTTACAGATTAAAACACTTTAAACAGTAAAAATGTAATGACACCTACCACTGAAATGAACAACATATATATATATATGANTTATTTATCACAATTTATAACGTGTGTACCTAGAAAGAATTAGATGTTAATTACTTTCATTTTGTCTTCTACGACCTTCTCCTTTACATTAAGAAATATTTATATTTTTTCTTATAAAGTTTTTATTGTAATATTCTCAATGTGCCACGAACACATAAAATAAATGTTCCTAATAATTTCCTAACATAATTTTATATTTCACTTATGTATATTTTAATTATTAAAACTTAACCGATTTAATTACAAACATTAGAACTATTTTTGTTTTAGATTTTTATGAAATATGTATTATTTAACTTTATGAACATATATTCTGAGAAAAACTTTTATATTATCCACAGCATGTACAATTCATTGCTTTGGATTATATTAATATACATAGAAAATTTATCAATAATTTGGCTGTAACAGATGTAGATTATTAGGAAAATATTAGTAAAAGTTAAATCTTATCAATCAACGTAATCCATAAAACGTACATCGAAATCGATATCATGTGCCATCCATCTTTTTGATATTATATTTGGCACTCGATTTAAAAGATAGTTATTACTTTCAGTTTTCCTGAATCGAACACCTTTTCTGAATTTAAGGACCTTCTAAATGAAAGAAAACACAATTTCAATTTAAATATAAGAGTATTACAGAGTTTCTACAATGGGAGGGTACTGGATTGGTATGAGAAATTGGAAATAAAAAATATAATAAGAACTATTTTTAAAAATATTTAAATCTTTATTATTTCTATTGTATTTGGCTATTCAGTTTAAAATACATCATAATAAATCTAATTGGCAGCTGATAAATTCGAGACTATGTTCTAGCAATTTATATATTTTCTTCAGTGTGTCATAAAGCTTCTTAGCGTATTTTTTATTTATAGTTAATTCATTTAGAATTTTTCTAACCTTCATGACTCCTTAGCGTTGAGGTTATTCCACCGAGCTCCCTGGAGACCATCACTTTCATCAAGAGCCAAAATTGCCGTTTCTCACCAGTTTTAAGACGCCTCCCACTTCTGTTTTTCCGGCCGGGCGGCAAGGGGCGGACTGCGGTTTGCCAGGCCCGTTGTAAAAACAGAAGAAAGCTTAGAAAATGAGAATGAACTGCGTGACAGTTCCGGTGTATCTTACCCGTTTCTAATCGGGGATCAACCGCCAGGCAATTAGCCACGAGGTAGGGGGAAGATCCTCGTGGATTTTGCATCCTCCTGTCACGCTCTAACAATCGGTGACAAACTTATTAATTTTTTTTACCCAGACCTGTTTCTTGTCTCGATCAGGAAACGGATCTTTTGTTATGAAAGAGTTTTCGACACAATTTACGCTAGGACGACTCCAGTCGTCTCCTTACAAAATCTCAAAAAATAGCCACAAAATGTAACTTTTTTACTGAAAAACGATATAACTAGGAAATACCAATTGTAAATTTGAAAGCCAACGTTCCAGTTGAACTCTGCAAGCATTATGTGTAATATATTCTAATTTATAACATAATTATTTGAAGATCGTGAGATGCGGTCTGGTGTGACGTAGGTTTTAGAAAAACTTTTCTTTATCGTGCCAACGTTTCGATCTTTATTGAGATCATCTTCAGGGCTGAAAGTGTTTGATTTCTGTGTAGATATGTTATTCCTGTGTGTCGTGTTGAGAGTGCCCCAATTCACATAATGTTATCGTGAGATTTGTCCGTGTTGTCTGCGGGGTGGTTAACTTTTAATTTTACAATGTATTAAGGTTTTTAGTTGAGATAAAAAAGTCAGTGCCATGAGCGGGATTCGAACCCACGATCTTCGGCTAGATACGCCGCTGCTCTACCACTTGAGCTATCGTGACCACGATCCACTCGGACACTAACTTCACATCTCAACCCCATTTCATTTGTCGCCGAGAAAAATGGCAAAAAGGAGAGAAAATTCAAATGGTGGGGTTGAGATGGGAAGTTGGTGTCCGAGCGGATCGAAGTCAAGTGGTAGAGCAGCGGCGTATTTAGCCGAAGGTCATGGTTTCGAATCCCGCTTGTGACACTGACTTTTTTATCTCAACTAAAAACCTTAATTGTATGTGAGATTTAATTGATCAAGCGAATTTTAATTTTACATTACCTATTATCGCATTGTTGGTCTTTCGAACACTTATCGGGATTTTGCTATTTTCGGTTATTGAATAAAATTAATGAACAAAATTAATGTTCAAAATAAATACCATTTTGATTTACCGTCATTAGCCATCATTCTGTCAGTTGACCACTTATTGCTAAGCTCTAAAAAAAATTTGCACAGCAATTTCGTCTTACGCAAAACATTCAATTTTTCTGTTTAAAACAAATTTGGCCTTTGGTGTGATTATCACAGGTGACAAGTTGAAGGAGCAAGTTCTAGACTATGTAGTGTATGTGGCAGGAGTTAGGCCCCTTAAGATCTAACTTTTCCTTGGAGCGACGGCAAATGTGTGACCGAGCTGGAACAGAACTCCTTTAAGGTTAGCCAGAACTGGTGATAATTTTCCGACTCGCAGATTTTGCAGGTAGAATTCAGATTTCTAATACACCGATCAGACATAACTGTTATTTTTTAAAAATCGCACAACATTGATTTATTTTTATTTTTATAACGTTTTATGTGCATAATTTATTTTTTCAGTGCAAACCCACTTTTCACCATAAGCTACCATCTTGGCTAAAATTTCATTCCATTAGTGGTTTTGCGAGTTTTTACCCTTTTAGCGAAATGCTGTGGCGGAAGTTAAATGCTTATGTTTAAGCTTTTTTTCACCACAACCAGCGTGGCAAATACGCAAATATATGCGGCTCGATTTTATTATTCGCCAAGCTGTTGAATTCGTCAATATTCATAACATGGCCAACCTGAGCTCCTCTTTCTTTTCTCTGTTAATTTTTTGATACTAACATCTTCGTCTTCCGGTTTCATTATTTAATAAGGTGCTACAGCGTCTGTAAGATTTCTTTATGTAACAATGTCTCAAATATGAAAATGAATAAACTGTCTGTCTTCTCTCTCATTCGACAGAATTTATTTAACTAACGCGTTATCGAGACAGTGAGTCATTTATAAATAAGCTAAATTATAACTTCTCATTAAATATACGGTCGACATTAAATTAATGATAGGTAATAATACGTAATTTTTATACTTTCTAATAATATGTGTCATCCTACAACTAAATATACTAATATTCCGTTTTGTTGGACTGTAAAAATTTATAAAAATAATATACAGAGCCATCACTTGTTATAAAATCTAAATATTTCTAATTTCATTTAGCCATTTTATTTTACAATAAGTGAAAATAGTACTGAACCCAACAATTTCAGGTTTTTATTTAATTTTTGCCATAACTTTGTCATTTTTTGAGCAATGTAAAATCCGATTACACCACCGTTTTCAGCGCAAAAAATCCTTGAAAACTATGTGCCAGGGTGTATAGGGTTGTATTTGAAATTACGAAGTTGAACTGGGCCTGTAGTACCCTTTATAATATTTCTCCAAGGAAAGTTAAAAATTTGAAACTAGACTAAAAAATATTACATGCATTTTTGATTTTTTTGATAGCGTCATTGGTTCAAGAAAAATCCAGCCGGGTCTCTAAAAAGAACTAAAATGAATACGAAACTTTTTTTTTTTGTGGTTATAATCTGTTTTTCTTTTAAATTTTATAAATTGTTTATTTAACGCCTAATGCGAACTATATGGCGTATAAAATGGATGAAATATGGATGAGAGCCATTCTATTCAGATTGGAACAAAAGAGAACAATTTACATCCTTCCAGCCCTCCACCCGTTGACCGTACAAAAGCTTTGTTTCGTGAAATTTCTTCGTCAACTCGACACAAACCAGATTAGCTGGCCATCACATTAATTATAACACGTAGTTTGCAAAATATATCGTCCGAGAAGATAAAATAAAATTATTATAACAAAATGGCCAGTAATGTTTTATTGAAATAAACATATTTGTTATAACTAATTTTGAGAAGTTTATTATTATACACAGCTAGTGCAACACAGTTGTTCATAAAGTGTTTCGCTTACACGTTTCTTCCAATGAAAATTTATCGTAAGAAGTTATTTATCTGACGAGATATTTTCAACAGAAAGCCTTGAACCAGGAGTTGATATCTACGTACTCAAATAAATTTTGGACGGAACTCTAAAACGTTTATTTGATGTTTTTGATGAACGAAAATAAGTAGTTTTTTTTCTTTTTTGCAAATTACCTCAATTCTCATCGTTATACTAACCCGCCGGACATTGAAGTGAAACAGGTCCTCTAAATTCGTCCGTTAAGGCGCATATGCTTAACAGGAAATTAAGACTTAATATTGTAAAGAAAATTAGACTTAGCATGTATACACACATGTATTGTAAGGTAGAAGTACTGTAACTTTGCATCACCTCTAACGACAAAGGTGTTGTAGTATATTATTGATTGAGTTTTAAGATTAATTAACTAACCATCTAAAGTAAAACTAACTAAAACGTAAATTAATTTCTTGTAGCAATAGTTACAGATGGAACTACAAACAAGGATTTATATGTTCCATATATCCACATAGTAACTCGATCCTCTTCCTGTAACATTCTTTTCATTTCTACAAATCTATTAATTGTCATAAAAACACTTTCATTTCACCATATCTTCCAACTCATGCGAGAGTGATTGGATTTTTTTTTTATAAATTAAAATATTAGTGTATATCTACGATAAAGCTAGAGGCTACTAGTAAGTAGTTTCTCTACGGTGTATAACGTGTCTTGCAATTTACGGTTAATTTGGCATGAAATAATTACTTCGTACCCCCTATGGTAATATGTATTGATTTAAAAATAATCTTAGATGATAGATTTGAGATTGATCAGATTTGTCTCAGTTCTGTATAAACGTTTTGTTGTTTGAAGTTAGGTTATATAAATATTATGCAGTTATATTTATCATGTGATAAAATAAAAAAATTTAATTATTAAAAAACACCCTTTTCATAAAAACAGTGCAAAGTTCATAATAACAGCAATAAATTAAATCTGACTATTCTTTTACGAAATTTATGCTTACAAAACATTTAATACAAAACAAAGTAAATTCAACAGTAGTTTTTGTGTAGCCGCAGTTTCAGTGTTGTTATTATTATTTTCCACAGAATATTTAAAAAAATCGTTCTAAGCTATCTTGGACAAAGGGGTTTTATGATGGCTTACGGATATAAAAACTTACATATTTTGAATCAATATCACCCCATTTGAATCCGCTTACAATATCGAGTTTCCAAGACAGATAAGTAAATTTAATTTTTGTCCTCAACAAACGCCTGAATTGTATCGAAATACTAAATGGCAGAACTGCTGAGCTTAACATATTGTCTCACCGCACTTACTCCAGGAAATATTTGAAATGAATCGACAATAAAATTAAAATTATTTAAAAAATATGCGAACAACGAAAAGCGAAGAAAACTTCTGAGGCACAAAACAGATTATTTAGTGTACGATAGAGCATCAAGTCACTTTTGATTTTCGAAATATGGCCAATATTACATTCTAGCTGCCATAAAAAGATATTTATGGATTATGCAAAAATTTATGAAATTTTATAAAATATAAAACAGATAATGCCTATCCACTAGACATTGTAAATAGTTTACCTTGTTCAAATTTTAATATGAATATCAAATATATTCATTATTCTTTTAAATGAAAAAAATCATTGGTTTATAAAAAGAAATTTGATTGATTTTATGGATATTGGTGTTTTCGTGCTTTTCTTCCTGTTTCATACTTGGTTATTGTGTTAGAACACTAGGAAAATTATTCAACTAATAAAAATGTGAAACTAGGATATGAATAATATGAGTATATAAGACAATTAAGAACGAAAAAACCGTGCATATTGTCTTATAATATAATGGACAACACGCATCGGCTATCAACCAGAGAACTTTTTTGCTGAAATGCAGACAACACAAGGTATTTCCTACTCACATCAAAAACAATTTTAACTTCACAAATGCCACACTAACACAGCCAAACACCAGAATTAACGACATACATAAAGCCACAATAAATTTCAAACGAAACATTTTAAACATAGAAAT